GGAAACTGATGCTGAGAGTGGACAAATGACTTGCCCAAAGTCACGCAGCGTGTCACTGGAGGGACTGGGGTTCACCTGCACTACTGAGCCCCATGTTTGATTAAGCCCAAGTCCAGTGTCACTGGGAGGTCTTACAAGGAGTCATGGCTCATCACAATTACTGTCTCTGTTCACTCCGTGCCCTGCATCCACTGTGCCCTGGAACCCTCACTACCTGCCCCACCCCATCTGCCCTGAAAGCTGCCGGAATCCCCTTGCCCAGATCCCACTGCTGTTACCAAGTGGGTCCYCAGGGACCACGGCACTGTGTGAGGTCTGGGCTCCTGTCCGAACAATTTGTGTTGTCATTTAGCCACAGTAGGAAGCCAAGGCTGTAGGAGAGAACCGTCTTCTTCGGCATCTGACTTGTGTACTTCAGAAAATTCCACCCTGACTTGATGATAATTTACGGGACAGTAACTGCATTTGACCTGGAGTTAAGAAAGGCCATTATAGGAACAGAGGAAGTCTAGATATGGCAGAGGGGTGGGAGGGGAAGAGAAGGGGCATGGGGTTAGAAATGATGGTGGAATGTGATGGACATCATTATCCAAAGTACAGGTATGAAGACACGAATTGATATGAATATACTTTGTGTACCACCAGAGATATGAAAAATTGTGCTCTCTATGTGTAATAAGAATTATAATGCATTCCACTATCATATATAAATAAAAAATTAATGAAAAAATAAATAAATAAAAATAAAAAATAAAACCAGAGCTGGGAATTACATCATCTCCATGCAGAAATCTGTTCATTGATTGAAGAATTGATGGTCTACAATAGGTTTTCTTAAAATAACAGTTTTCAAACTCAGTATTCACTAGGTTAACCAGTATTATTTGGATTCAGATCAATTAAAATTTCTCTTCGCATTCACTGTCAGCTTACAAATACATTTATATACCACTTTTCATCAAACAGTGATTAGGTAAAATCCAATGTGGTTTTATTTTGCCTTTTGGCATTATCACCCTGAAAGCCAAGAGTAAGAGTTAACGTTGAGCTTTAGAAACCTGTTTAACCAGACGTCTTGTATAATATCTCTGTTCCCTTTCATTTCATTTCATTTTTAAAAATTGTGACCTGTGTCCCTTGACCAGAAAATGAAGTTGCAAATGTTTCTCTGTTCCCAAACCATGGCACTCTCCACAAAATAAAGAGAAAGTAAGGGACCAGGAGTGTAGCTCAGGCGTAGAGCTTGCATGAGCTTAGCATGCGAGAGACTGTGGCCTGTTTCACTTAGCATAATGTCTTCAAGTTTCATCCCTCTTATAGCATGTGATAGGATCCACTTCCTTTTTACAGGTTAATAGTATTCCTTTGTAGCATACAGCATGTTTTGTTTGCCTACTTCTTTGTTAATGGATGTTCGAATTTCTTCCACCGCTTGGCTATTGAGAATAATGGTCCGGGAGGGGAGAGGAGGAGGGATAGTAGAGGATAGGAAAGGCAGCAGAATACAACAGACACTAGTATAGCAATATGTAAAACAGTGGATGTGTAACCGCTGTGATGCTGCAATCTGTATATGGGGTAAAAATGGGAGTTCATAACCCACTTGAATCAAAGTGTGAAATATGATTTGTCAAGAACTATGTAATGTTTTGAACAACCAACAATAAAAATTAAAGGAAAAAAAGAGAGAGAATAATGGTCCGATGAACACATGTGCAAATATTTAAAACTTGGCTTTGAATTCTTTGGGGTTTATACCCTGAAATTGGCCTACTGGGTTATATGGTAGTTCTATTTTTAATATTTTGAGGAATTGCCATAGTGTTTTCCACAGTGGCTGCACCATTTTACAGTCCTACCCACAGTACAGAGGCTTCCAGTTTCTCCACCCTGTCCAATACTTGTTATTTTCTTATTGTTGTTTTGTTTTGTTTTTGATAGCAGCCGTCCTAAAGAGTGCAAAGTGATAACTCAGTGTGGTTTTGACTCGCAGTTCCCGGATGACTAGTGACGTGAGCATCTTTTCCTGGGCTTGTTGATCAGGCGTATATCATCTTTGCAGAAAGTCCTTAGCCCACTTTTTAAAACCAGGTTATTTGATTTTGGTTGCCGCGGAACTGTCATCTTTATCTATTTTGGATATCAACCTCTTAACAGATACAGGATCTGCAAGTATTTCCTCCCATTCCACAGGTGGTCTTCACCCCATGGCAGGTCCTTTGGTGGGCAGAGGTCTTAAGTCTGATGTGGTTGTCAGTCTTTGCTCCCTGTGCTTTGGGGTCATGCAGAACAAGTATTGCCCAATCAAATGGCATGAAGCTGCCCCTGTTTTCTTCTCCGAGTTTTGTAGGTTTTTAAGATTTTTTTATTTGTTCTGTTTGGCTGTACATGACAGTAGAGGATATTCAGAGTTTTATAGTTTTAAGTCTTACTTTTGGGTCTTTTAGTCCATTTTGAGTTAATTTTTTATATGATGTAAGATGAGAGTTCAGGTTCATTCTTTTGTCCACTGTCCCAGCACCGTTTCTTGCAGGGACTCTCCTCTCCTCCCTGAGCAGTCTTGGCATCCTCGTCAAGATCCATTGACCATATGCAGGGTTTATTTCTGGGCTTTCCTTTTTATTCCACCAGTCTGTTAATCTGTCTCTATGTCAGCACCACACTGTTTTGACTATTTTAGCTTTGTGATGTGTTTTAAGAGCAGGAAATGTGAGTCCTCCGACTTTGTTCCTTTTTATTTTTACTTGATAAATTCCAAAATGAATAATTTCATTAAAATCAGATGGGAAGTCACTATATTAGATATCATTTGGACAGATTTTCATAGTCAAGTGAAAATGGAAGGTTGAGCAATTATTGAGTGTTATCTGAAAATTTGAAATGATTTACCTAGTTTCAAGGGCAAATTTTGCTTCAACCTTAAATTATACAGATGTGTTACTACATTATAAAATTTCACAAAATAATTGCATCTGACCTGTTCTTTTTAGACTTGATTTATATCACTATTTTTGTTCATAGAAAAGTTGGAAGTTATATGTCTAGAAAAAAGAAAAGTCACATGAATTTCTACCATCTAGAAATAGCTACTATTACTATTTAGTGTATTATACCCTTTTAAACGTTTTTAAAACGCAAATGTGTACACAAATTTTTTTATTTTTACATGCATTGGTTAATAATCTGAGTGGATTTACTGAAAGTTCATATTTGTACAAAATAAAATTATGTGCACTTCTCTTCTTTTTACTTAATGGTACTTTGTGAATTAAAAAAAAAAAAAACGTGTATATCAAATCCACACTATCATTTCTAAAGGCAACTTTCTACTCCATTGCCTTGGATGTACCTTGGTGGGTTATTTGCACCAGTAGGCATTGGAATTGTGCTTAGTTGACTCCCACCCCCGTAAACAACGCTTCGGTGATTCTATTGGTACACATACACCTTTGCCCAGTTGATTATCTTTTTAGAATATATTTCTAAGAATGAGAATACTAGGTAAACTCTTTTATTGAGTTTGATGATATATTTCTAAATTTCCCTCTTAAAAGTCACAATTTACATTGCCCCTTGAAGTGTACCTATTTGCCTTTGATTATACCAACACTGCACCAGTTTTTAAGTAAAAATGTTGTATTTTCCCTTCAACTCACATTTACTTGATTAATAATGAATTTAAGCATTTACATAATGGATTTAAAAAATTTTTAATTGCATATAGCTTTTTTAGGGTTTTTGACATTGTCGTTGTTACTGCGGATTGAACCCAGGGGTGCTTTACCACCAAGCTACATCCCCAGTCTTTTTTTATTTTTTATTTTGAGACATGGTCTCACTAAGTTGCTGAGACTGGCCTTGGAATTGTCATCCTTCTGTCTCAGCTACATAAATTTCTGGAATTATTTTATTTACAAAATCTTAACCTTATTAAGTTTATGTTCTTTTGGGATGAGTGTTCTTTGCCTGTTTTTAATTGTAGTGTCACTTTTACTCTAATGATTAAGTTTCACCTTACAGACTTAAGTTATAGCTAATACTATAATTAGGATAATTTTTCAATTTTGTTACCTGGTATCTATGTTGATGATGCTTTATTTTCGCCCTTCAGTTGTCATCAAGTTTTTTTGTTTGTTTTTTGCCGGGGGGAGGGGGGGTACCAGGGATTGAACTCAGGGGCACTCAAACACTGAGCCACATCTCCAGTCCTGTTTTGAATTTTATTTAGAGATCGAGTCTCACTGAGTAGCCTCGAATCTTGCTTTTGCTGAGGCTAGTGTTGAACTCATGATCCTCCTGCCTCAGCCTAAAGCCGCTGGGATTATAAACCTGTACCATTATGCCCAGCTTCAAGTTTTTATTAAGGGGATGTAGCTCATGGTAAAGTGCCCCTGGGTTCAATTCCCAGTTAAAAAAATAATAATTAATTAAATAAAATAAAAATTTAGAAAAAAAAGTTTTGTTTGATTTTATTTTACTTCATTTMATTTGTTTATCTTTTATTCAAAGCTGTCAATCCCTTCCACTTTGGTTTCTTATCGTGCCTAGAAAATCCCACGTCAAGATGTATAAGTATCTCTCTACATTTTTCCATTGTTTTTAGGGTTTGCGTGGCATTTTGGTCCTTTCATATCAAATGTTAAAAACCAGCACTTTATTCATAAAGTTTTCTAGTTCAATTTATAATAGAAATGCCAAAGAGCACTGACTTCATATTCCCTCACTAGTACTCCAACCCCAATATAGGAAAGGAGTGGACTGAGACGAATCTGTAATATAATGGAGTAGGTAATTATTAAGTGTCAGCTGCCTGCCCAGGAAGGCTCTAGATGTGCTTCTCTAAGACACTGTTGTACGGAAGGCTTTGCATACTTTTTTTTTTTTTTTAACCACAGAACTGGTAATGGAGACTGCAGGACAGGTGTGATGTAAATTTTGTTGGCTGCAAATGTGGGCATAGATGACAGTGCTAACAAGGATTATTTTCCTTTCTCTTCCAGATTTTATAGGAAGACTAAACTTGTTGGCTTTCAAGACATGGAGTGCGTGCCTTGTGGAGATCCCCCTCCTCCCTACGAACCGCACTGTGAGTGAACACGGTCAAGTCAAGCCAAAGCAGGGGCCTTTTACAAAGTTTTCATTTCTTAAACCTTTCTTCAGTTGGCAAAAGGAGCCAAATCTATCTCTACCACGGGGCTCATAGGATTCTTTTATCCCACTCCTAGAGGACATAAAGCGTCTTTGTTGTGTGTCTCAGTCTTTAAACTGCCGGTTGATTTGAATCTCAAAGTGAAATGCAGACATTTTGCTGCTGCTGTGCTCCATTCAATTCTTATCTTTCATTTAGATACATAATGCAAGCAACTCCAATTAACTAGGTGGTCCAGACCCTAATGCTAAATGTCTTTGTGCTGTGGCCCCATGCATTCCTGGGTTTTCCTTTCTGAGTCCCCAGACATGATCATGTGGTGGTGTCTGCCTTTCCAAAGACAGTCCTGTCTGTGAATCCTCTACCCTCATTAGCGTWTCATTAGGTGGACTCCTAGTTCACTTGGTTTATTCCCTAACTTAACAAATAAATGAGAAGAGAGGTCTTACTGTATGCCAAGGATATAACCATTAATGAGACAATGGTACGTTTTCCTCTTCATATTAACATGAGTTAATCATTTTGACCCTATATTTCCTTAGCTATAAAAGGTATTTGTTACAAGTTATCAACCATATTGATTTGGAATAGGAAGAAGAGTAACAGGTCACTCCTCTTAATTCTAAACCCGCCAGTGAAAACCTGAGGATGCGGGGAAAGGGGAGAAGTCAGCAAGTGGGCTCCCCTCAGGGTCCAGGGGATGCTCCTCTGTGTCAGAGCAGGGCCTTTGAAGTGCTGTTATTCACATAAACCAGAAACAGCTAAGTCCAGGCAAGAGAAGGATGGAGAAGCATAGGTGGCACAAGTCTTTCTAGGGAGAACTGTTGTGACACAATGCCTAATACATGGAGTCAGTCCTTTTCCTTCTTTCTACAAAGAAAGTTCCCTCCAAAAGAATTGAAAGTTATTGCATCATTGGATAAGGGCATTCGTGTTATTTCTCTTTCCAAGAATGCCATGGAATTTTGTAGTTCATATTACCATATGAATTATGAACCAGAATGCATTACTCTCCATTCCTAATTTGAAGTGATAGAAAGCTGGGGGGGGGTGTAGAACACTCTAATTTCTATAGAAAATCTGTATTAACCATCATTTTGATAATATGTAAACATTCACCAGTTCATTGCAGTGAACAAATGCAGTACCGAATGCCTGTTAGTTGTCAGTCACAGTACAGGTGCTTTGCTTATTTGACTTACTCTTCTCAATAAATTCTATCATCAGCCCCAATTTGTCAGTGAGAATATAGATCCGGAGATGTTAATAGCTTTCCATGTTGGCTGGTACATGGCAGAGACAGTATTTCAACCCAACTATGCTTCACACCAAATATTGGGCTCTTTCTACCAGGCTCTGTGTCTCCCTACAAAAAAAAACATCAAACTATATGACCTGTCCTGCATGTTGACTTTTCTTATGTTGTTTGCTTTAATGTTTGCCAGTTAACAAAACCTCTAGAAATCCATTATATAAGGGATCCTGAGAGGTGTTCTTTATGCAGTTGCACAGCCCATAAAGGACATGTCCTTTTGCCAGTTAAAACTCAGCAAGCTGGCCATGCCCAGGGCTCAATCAGCTGTGATTTAAGTTAAGGAGCAAGTTCAACCCAAACCATCATGCAGACTCTCAGAGAAGTAATCAGTATTGCCCAGCTTAGAGTTAGTTAGTATTAAGGGTTTTTTTCCCCCCTTTATGGTATTTGGTTTAAATGTAATATAATCTAGTAAAAAGTTTGAAACTTTGGAACATTTTGCCTTTGAGGCTTTGGCTAAGCTTAGATGTCACAAATTAGCCTTTGAACATGGGCCACATGCATCTTTTCATGTATTATGAAGCCCTGAAAAGGTGTAATTTTGAAAAGAAAATTAGTTTAACATAGATAGATAGATAGATAGATAGATAGATAGATAGATAGATAGTTATTCTCCATGTGTGAAATTCTTTAGAAATCAAAGAAAAATAAATCATTTGTCAAAGTAAAAAATACAGTGTGCACAGCGAAGGACCTTTCAAACCACAAAGTAAGACAGTCTGGTCCTCTTTAGTACGGTAATTCTTATCTCTGGAAAAGAAAGCTTGCTGCCTTTGGCTCTGTTCTTGGGAATGATTCCAGAATGCAAATAATCTCCTCAAAGGACATCTTGAAGTCTTTGGAGGAAATTGTGCAAGGCGCCTTATGTTTTCATTTCTTCTACTTCGGGCTTTTCAACTCACCCACAAAGGCTGCTTCTTAGTGATTTCCCCTGAGGAGTTCCTGTATCGCTGAGACTCATGGCTGTAGGAAAGGGATGACTCCCATGCTTTCCCAAGGAATGGGGATTTTTTTCAGGGATGCATGGGGTAATGAAGAAGCCGGGCCTTCCTGGAACCCAGGAGTCAGTCCCAGGCGGCCCTGGAGCCGAGGGTCATAGTTCCCCGACAATCGGAGGTTCTGCACACTGTGTGGGGCCCTGTCGTCAGCACAACCACTGTGTCCTCTAGTTCTTCCTCATGCTTCTAACAGCCCACTTTGCTCTCTACTTGCCTGTTCACGGTTCAGAGCAGTCTGACTGGTCTAGTTGAATACCATCATCCTGTGAGGCAGGACCTTACTTGGTGACCTGTAGAAATAGTCATGCGCCACCTGATGTTACACTCAGTGATGGACTCAGTGATGGACCCCGTGACTCTGTAAAGGACCCTGCAGTGGTCCCAGAGGATTATAGCAGAGCTGAAAAATTTCTGTTGCCTCATATTTTTGCTGTATATTTTCTATGTTTAGATACACAAATACCATGTGTTACAGTCACCTACAGTATTTAGTACAGTAACACACTGTATAGTTGTAGGCGAGAAGCAATAGACTACACCATATAGCCCTGGTATGTAGAAGGCTGTAACTCTAAGTTTGTGTAAGTGTATAACTTACTCTATGCTTTTCACACAGTGACACAATTGCCTAATAAAGTTTGTTTTTTTTGTTGTTGTTGTTACTGGGGATTGATCCGGGGTGCTTAACCACTGAGCCACATCCCCCAGCCCTTTTTTATATTTGATTTAGAGACAAGGTCTCACTGAGTTGCTTAGGACCTCAATATGTTGCTGAGGCTGGCTTTGAACTCACAATCCTCCTGCCTCAGCCTCCAGAGCTGCTGGGATAACAGTGCCACCACACCTGGCCCCTAATAAAGCATTCTTAGAACATGTTCCTGTCATTAAGCAACAGCTGACTGCCACCACACATGGGGAACAGGCGGAGCCCTTCCTCTTTGCGGAGCTTCCAGTCTAGTGGGGGAGTAGTYAAATAAATCCTGACTCTGAATTAAACAGTATACACATACCCCACATGCAGATGCAAAACATGACAATGGTAGGTCCCCTTCCTGGCACCGTGCACAGTGCTCTAAGACTGTCTGTGTAATGAGCAATGGTGTGGTGGGGTAGGCATGGCTTTCCTGAACAGTGGCTTTTGAGTCATGATTGAAAGGATCATCCGGAGGAGAGGAAACACAATAGGAGACTAAACAGAAGGACCACAAGGAAGAGTGAAGCATGCCCTGACGCTTTGGATAGAGAAGTCAGTGATCACTAGAAATGTCCTCTGGACTTGGAAACCCTGAGGTCTTTGATGTCATCAATAAGAGCCCTGCCGTGAGTAGTGGAAACAGAGCAAGGTCATGATGAAMTTAGAAGCTAACATCAGGAATGGAATGGAGATGGCCACCGCAGACCACCCATTCTAACAGGGTGATGGGTGAAAGAGCTGTGTGGCTGATGCCGGGCCTTTTAATTTAGCAGTTTTATGTCATTTACCAATGGGACTTGTTCTGAGAGACGAATCATTAGGCGATTCCATCGTTGTGTGGATATCATAGGGTATGCTTACACGAACTCAGACCCTGTGTTGTCAGTAGATGATATCATCTTGTGRGATCACTGCCATCACATTATGTCATTGACCAAAACGTTGTTATGTTGTGCACGACTGTCTCGGTTTTTAGGTAAGAGATACATCTGCATGTTTGAAGATTGGAGGGAAGGTTCTATTTGACGATTGAGGATTTCTTTCTTTCTTTCTTTTGAAATTGAGGATTGCCTMTGAGACAATTAGAGCGTGACCAGGTGGATGGAGGAGGATCCAAGCACAGGAGGTGGGCTGGCCAACCCACCATGATGGGCTTCTTCATTCCATGGCAGGAGTGTGGAGGGTTCTGTCTCTGRGAGGCAGGAGTAAGGCAGGAGCCAAGGAACTCCGAAGCTGGAAGAGCATAGGTGTTGGAGGTTCTCAGCACAGAGTGGGGAGGAGCTGTTGGATCAGTAAAATAGAGTGTCAAAAGTCCCACTGGAGACTGTGGTCAAAGTGTGGCATTAGTTTGCTTCTCCTAGGACATTTCTAGGGGCCTCTGCTATGAGGTTGTCTGAATTTGCCCCAAGACATCAAAGCCTCTTTAAAGAGGATGGCCATCTAATAGCATGAATATAACTTTAAATGAATGCAAGTACATTTTCTTATACTTATGCAATATCTGAGATGAACTAAGTAACAATAGAAAATGCCAGGCTGAAAACTTCCCAAGTTTCTGTCATCTGTCCAAGGGCCACCCTGGTTCCATGCCTGTTGATGGCTGGTATAATTTTGGGAAGTRACAAAATTCCCCTAGGGGCAGATTTCTTCCCCTATTAAATGGARTGATACCTGTTAAGGTAAGTGCTAAGGGAGATCATGTGACTGCCCTGAACAGTGTCTGGCTCTGGCAGGTTGACCTCCTGGCTTGCTCCTTTGGGCTCTTAATGACTGCTTAGCTCTTCTCTCTTGGTGTTTGGAGAAGCTGCTATCTTGATGAAGAAGCCCAGGACTGTCCAGGAGATGTGGTATCTAGCAGAGGCAGTGGTTCAAAGAAAAGCAGCGAGACAGGCATTGCCTGGCTCCAACCCCACGCAACAGGAAATGGTAT